GAGAAGGAGAAGGCCTTTTCAGAAGACTCAGAAGTCCCCAGGCCTTCTGAGAAAATTCCCAAGCCCTCCTCGAAGACACAAACAGAAACCTCAGAAGGCGCGAGTGCTTCTCAGAAGTCCCGCCGCTTTCTGAGAAGGCCTTTTCCTTCTGAATTCCGCCACTCCCTCGCAACCGGCTTGTGGGATACCGCTACTCCCCGGACCTCTCTCGGGGTGCGTTCTGACCAGGATTCCGAGGCGAATGCAGCGGTGGCGACGAGGGCCTCCGAGGAAGCCCAACCAGGGGGAAAGGGCGAAGGGTAGCAGCCTGGGTTCCTTTTCCTCCTCCTCGCTCGCCGCCGAGTGTGGCAAACGAGGAAGGGGCGATGGGCGACAGGGGGGGCGCGCACCCCGCGACGGCGTCGTCCGCGCGAAAAACAAGAGCGGCGGGGCGTCGGGCCTGGCACGCACGGCGCCGAACGGGAGCCCGGGGGGCCCGCGACTACGAGCGCAGGGCCGAGAACACCGGGGGGAGCGGGAGAGGGGGAGGAGGAGGGGGAGGAGGGGGAGGACGAGGAGGAGGAGGAGGAGGAGGAGGAGGAGGAGGAGGAGGAGAAGGAGGAGGAGGAGGAGGAGGAGGATGTTCTAGGCCAGCAGGCTCCCCGGGGGGTGGGACAGCGAGGGGGCGGGGGAAGTTTTGGGCTCGAGGCTCGAGGTTTTTCCGACGCTCTCGTCGGTTCTCGGCGGTTTTCGGGACTCGGGATGCTTGCCAGCAGCTGCGCTTCGCCGAAGGCGTTCCGGGGGTGCCCGAATCGTCCCGAACGGCCGCCAGAGACCAGATAGATGACCCAAAAACCCAAATCGGCAGCGAGCGAGGGGGGAACATGAGACGGGACTTCTCAGAAATATGTGTTGTCTCCGGGGAAGGCTTAGAAAACTTCTCGGAAGCCCGGGGGACTTGCGAGCCTTCTGAGAAGGCCTTCTCCTTCTTACTTCCCCCTCGCTCGCCGCCGAGGGACACGAAGAGGGGAGACGGGTGGGAGAGGCGGAGGGGGGCGGGGGGAGAGGAGGCAATGTAGCAGGAGAAAAAGAGGAGGATGTGGACGGGTCGGGGGGGGGGATACTGGAACAAAAAAATGCGCGCTGGACATGGGCATCGTCGCTGCCCGCAAGAGCGCGCTGAACAAGATACTTCGACGAACGAGCCCGTGGGGGGCTGCTATCCGCCACCGTGCCTTTGGCACGTTGGGGCGTGGTAGAATGCCTATTCGTCAGCTGTCTGCACGGGTCGGGCGCTAGCAGAACTGGGTTTAGTGGGACCTGGTTTAAGGACGTGTACCGGGGTACGCCCCCGCGCCCCGTTCCACTAACCGGAACTGCCGTCACCCGAAAAAAACACGAGCTACGGCAGACCTGGTTTAGTGATTCTGGCCAGTTTGGGGGCTCCGAGGCCCTACCACTGACCGGGTCCCTTTACCTTGGGTCCTGGCTATATCCGAAGGGGGCTCTTGTATCTGTAACGGCGCTCCCTTCGGCGTCTAGACGGCCCTACGACACCGCAAGACCGCCCCAGAGCGGCTGCACGGTGACGCAAGACCAAAGGCCCGATGTGCTGGAACGGCGGCCCGAGATCCAAGAGGAAGCACCCAAACTCCAGCAGGGCTCCAAGAAGGTACCAACACACAACGTGAAAGGAGCATGCGGATGGCTTGCGTCCCGGCCTTTTCAGCTTAAGATGGCACGGGACTGTGGGAGGCTGGAGGCTTGAGACCAGTCCAATACCAAGACGGCATCATACGGGACCAAGATAGCATGTGACTATGGAACCCTCGAGACGGCATTCTGTAATACCAGGATGGCCACAATGCGGCCTGGACGCCTCCAAGAAGAATGAAATATCGCCCTACGAGAGGGTGACAACGCTCCCAAGGCCAACCAAGACGGCCCCAAGATAATTGGATCGAGCTTCTTCGCAAGAGCACGGAGAACCATCGCGCCAAAGACGGCCCCGGCACCCCCGAGAGGCCACTCTACAGGCCCACAAAAGGGTACCAAGACGCCCCAAAGTTCCCAACAGTCCTCCAACAGACCTTCAAACAGACCCCGAACAGGAATGCAATAAGCAAACAATGTAACGGCGGCGCCACGCTGCAGGATCGTAGAGTCACTTCCCGAACAGCCTACTCGGAGACCTCGGTAGGACCAACCTGCAAGCCTCCCGACGATGCGCTGGCACGGTGGCGGGCTTCGCCATAGGCAGCCGGGTAAGTTCACCAGACTATTCACGATGCACGACGACGCCGGCGACCATCCATCATTCCCGGCCAATCACACCGACGACCCACGAGTGCCCCGCATCCATTCAGCACACGCTGGGGCCGGTCTCCTGTATTCTCAGATCGGCGTAAGCGTTCACGTCGACCTCCCCGTCGTCTTCGTAGATGGACTGCCCCTTGATCGCCTTGCAGTGCTCAGTGGCCAGCATCTTGGCACGGTATTTCTCCTCCAGCGCGGCCATGGGATCCGCGGGTGCGTTCTCCAACATGGCCAAAGCAATCTTCTGGCGACGCTGGAACTCCTCGAAATTTAGTTCCCTCCTCGGCAAATCCTTCTTCTTCGCCTTCCTTCCGCCCAGAACGTTCTGGTCGCTCCACCTCGGCGTGATGCCAGGCTGCAGGGGGTTGTCGTAGTACGTGATCGTGTACGAATCTTCAGACGCCCACGCCTCTTGTGTGAGGGGGCCCTCCAAGAACAGACCGACCATCAAGTACAGGATGTCAATGCGTGCGTGCTGCATCAGAACCACGTCCTGGAAGTCCGCCCACCCCTTCGGGATTAGAAAGCGTTTCAGGTTCTCCACTCCTTTTGGCAGCACTTGCCCCCCGCAGCGACAGCAGCCAGGACGGCACTGCAGGGGGGGGGGCAGGAGGGGAAGAGAGCATGATGATTAGGAGGAGGAGGAGGAGGAGGAGGAGGAGGAGGAGGAGGAGGAGGAGGAGAAGGAGGAGTAGGAGGAGGAGGGAGGAGGAGGAGGAGGACGAGGAGGGAGGGAAGGAGGGAGGGAGGGAGGGAGGGAGGAAGGGAGGAGGAGGAGGGAGGAGGAAGAGGAGGAGGAGGGAGGAGGGAGGAGGAGGAGGAGAGAGGCCTGGCAGTGCCCGTTGCCTGCCTCCCCTCTCGGCCCCACGCTCCTGCAGGGTGGCCCTGGAGGCGGGCCACCACGGCTCCAGTCTGGCCGACTCGCGTCAAAGCTCTGCCAAGAATGAATGAAGGGGCCCTGGGACACGCAAAGAAATGCACACAAATAACAAGGCTCCCCATATGTTCCCATATTTTGGGGGATGTCGTCTTCCCCCCCACTTCCCATATTTTCGAATATTTTCGGGGGAATCGACGATTAATTGTGTCTGTGTATTGTTTCCCCTCCTGGATGAAAATGACCTCCGATGTTCCCCAGGCCGATCTCCGGCCCACGGCCCTGCGCCACCCCAGAGCACCCAAGAGTGGCCCTGAGGCAGCAGCACACTGCCCCCGGGGGACTCCCGAGAGGCCCCTGGCGACGCTCTGATGTCACGAGAGCATTTCAACACTCACTTGTGCGGGTGTACGTGTGCCAGTGTGCATCGAGCAAAGAGGAGTCTGAAAGAACCCTTCAAACACCACCCAGTCCTCCCCAGATGACATACAGAGGGGACACGAAGCTCCGAAGAGGGCTCCAAGACGGCCCCAAAGCCACCCCAAGAGCGCCCCACTATATTGCCGCCCCACGGTAATCCAAGACGGCCCTATGCATGCCGTCGGACCGCGACAAACTGCGGAATGACCCCCCAAACACCCCGGCATCAGCATCAGAATCAGCATCAGCATTATCATCGTCGTCATCATCATCATCATCATCATCATCATCATCATCATCATCATCATCATCATCATCATCATCATCACCATCATCGCTCCCGACCCCCCTCCCCTCACCCTCATCCCTGGCACGCCTTCACGTCGCAGTGGATAAAGCCTCTGCTGTGCAGGTGATCCAGGCCCTCCAAGCACTGCTTGAAAAGGCCACGCCCCACACCCCGCAGCACAGTACCCCAAACCCAACACTCAAGAGGCCCCAAACAGGGTCCCGAAAGGGCCGCCGAACGCCTCCCAACGGGGCTCAGAAAAGCACCCCTAGAGGCGCTGAGGATGCGCTCCGCACGGCACATCCTGGAAGCGCTCCAACGTAGGGGCAACGTTAGGGGGGGACCAGCTCAGGGGAGGGGGGGGGGGGGGGGGAAACGTCGGCCTGGAGTTGGCGATGCACCGGCGATGGATCGACGAGGGGCCCCCGATAGCAAATCCGCACGGCAGGGTGGGCTATCGGGCCCCTGATCGGTGCGTCCCCCCTGAGCATTCCCGCCCTGTCGTTGCCCCTGGCGAGAACACTGCTGCTCTGCAGGTGCTCGCGCCACAGAAGCTCCGAGAGTTGCGTGTCTCAGCGGGGCCTAAGGGAGTGCGCAGGGCCGGTCTGGACCAATGCTGCTGTAGAAGGAGAAGAAGAAGAAGAATATGAAGAAGAAAAAGAAGAAGAGCAATACGACCAATAACATTAAGAATGACAGAAATAATTAAAGTAAGAATGCACATAAACAAAAAACGCAATCTACAGAAAACATAAACAAAAACTGTTGGCGCGTGGCGCAGATTTCTTGGATCTGCGCTGGACCCCCCTCCCTGGCGCGCGCGCCAGGGGCGGCGGCGTCAGAGGAGCCGCCGGGGGGGGGCCCGGCGCGGATCCAAGAAATCCGCGCGGAGCACCAACTGTTTATGCTTATGCTGTTTCTCTTCTTCGATTCCTGCTCATCCACCTGGGAGAGGCCAAGGCAATCTGCAGCAGCTGGAAAAGGGGACGGTGCCAGCACCCCCGCGGCACCACCCCCTTGTCTTGCAGGACGGAGGGCCCCTGACGAGTCCTGGGCCACGGCCCCCGCAAAGGCATGCTCCCAGCCACCTCTGCGCCCTCCTGGCCCGGGGCTTCTTCCAAAAAGCCTGGGACCTCCTTTGGTGGGCCTGTTTTCCTCCACCACCACCACCATAAGTTCGAGGGGGAGGGGGTCCTCCTCCTCCACCTCCTCCTCCTCCTCCTCTTCGTCCTCCGCCTCTTCGTCCTCCTCGCTCCTCGTCCTCCTCGCTCCTTCCCCCCCTCCAACTGCTGGTGGTGGTGGTGGAAGACAGGCCCGTCATCCTTCAGACAGGCGCCGAAGGGGGGGGGCCTCGGCCCCCGCAGGCACCCCTCGCGCATCTGGGCTTAGGTCGGGCGTGTCCCCCTACAGGGGGATGTTGGACGAACAATAAAAAATAGTCAAACAATGCTCAAACATAGTAAAAACAACAACTTACTCAAAACATCGTCCCCAGACTATTGTTCGATTAGTTTTGAATCTTCCTCCTGTAGAGGGACAGGGCCAACGTCACTCTGGGCGGCTCTGGACCTGGGAGGGGCCGAGACGCGGGGGGAAGCTTGGCTCGCACGCCGCGCGCGACAAGGGGGGCAGGCTCCCCTCGTCGCTCCGTGCTCGGGTGCTGCTAGAAGTGCCCCTGGCCCAAGGTAGCCCCCAGGATTTCCAGTCCAAGGAGGCCCCCACGGCCTCCAGAGAGCACCCCATCACGAGGCTCAGGGGGCCCCCGAGGCGCCAGGACTGAGCGAAAAGTTTGGGGGCGCCTTGGGCCAGGGGCGCCCTTAGCAGCCCCCGACATGCGTCCGAGTCCCACTGACCCTCTGGACGCGGGTGGTGTAACGGCGTTTCTGCTCGCTCGCCCAATCCTCCGCTTCCCCTGCTCGCCCCCACCGTTCGATGAGGGGCGTGCCCCTCCCCTCCCCTTCTGAAGGGGCCCTGGGACACACAAATAAAAACACAAAGAACCATATTCACCATAGTTTCCCATGTTTTCTGGGTGTTTGTCTTCCCCCGCCCCCACTTCCCATATTTTCCCATACTTTCCTGGGAGTCGACGATTAATTGTGTCTGTGTTTTTTCCCCTCCTGCCCCCCCTCCCTGGGGTCTGGGGGTGGGGGGCTCGGCTAATACGGCGACCCTTTGTGACCCAAGGTGGCTTCGAGATGGCGCAAGGCAGCCGAAAATGGCTGCAGATAACCCCCAACAGATCACCAAGGTACCCCAAGACGGCTCCACGTGCCCCTGGAGCCCCCGAGGAAGAGCCCAAGAGGCCAAAATGTGTTCAACGCCAGAGGTGAGTCAATGATTGTGCAAACTGGCGCAGGAGAATCACGTGGGGAGCCCAGTCGGACCCCAAGATGGCCCAATTGGCCCAAGAGGCACCCCGATGGACCCCAAGAGCGCCCCAAGGAGAGCCCCAAGAAGGCAATGTCTCTTCCATCTCCTGCTCCTTCCTCATCCTCCTCATCCTCCTCCGATAGCTCCAGGAGGAGGCTACGTCGCTCCTGCGAAAAATTGCCTGGTCATCGGTTCTGGCCGGGCTGGTGGGGATTTGCGAAGCATCATAATGTTAGATCTTCTGCTGAATGGAAAGCATTGACGGCATGTCCGGCTGTGTTCCGTCCGCGAAGCGGCGTGTATCATGGTCGAGGGACACAATATACTCGAGACCTATTCTGACGATGTCCTTCATGTGGAAGGGCACCTCTGCAAGGTCGATGCGAATGTAATTCTCGATGGAATTGCAATTCCAATCTGGCGACCGCCCATCCATTGCCCTGGCACCCTCGCCGAAGAACGCGTCGACAAACTGGTCCACCTCCGTGGAGTCGATATTGTCTTCGTCGAAACCGCACTCGTCGTACTTGCGCCGGCACTCGCTGTCCTTCAGGCACTTGTACGCCTTGTTCAAGTCCTGGAACCTCTCGTGGCTACCCCCCGGCTTGTCGGGGTGCAGCTTCAGTGAAAGCCGCCTGACAGGAGGCGCAAACCCTAGTTACACTTGCACCGGTCCCAAGAGGGCTTAGACACCTAACCTTAGCCCAGAATCAGAATGTTTGGCCAGGAGGAGGAAGAGGAGGAAGAGGAGGAGGAGGAGGCGGAAGAAGAGGAGGGGTAGGAGAAGGAGGAGGAGGAGGCAGAGGAGGAGGGGGAAAAGGAGAAGGAGGGGAAGGACAAGGAGGAGGAGGAGGAGGAGAATAATGTGGAGGAGGAGGAGGACGAGGAAGAGGAGGAGGGGGAGAAGGAGGAGGAGGAGGAGGAGGCAGAGGAGGAGGAGGATGGGGAATAGGAGAAGGAGGAGAAGGAGGAGAAGGAGGAGGAGAAAGATGAGGACGAGGAGGAAGAGGAGGAGCGGAGAATGTGGAGGAGGAGGAGGCAGAGGAGGAGGAGGGGGAATAGGAGAAGGAGGAGAAGGAGGAGAAGGAGGAGGAGGAGGAGGAGGATGAGGAGGAAGAGAGGAGGGGTGGGCTGTACAGCTGGCGCCCTCCCTGCCTGAATGCGCGGACGATCTCCGGCTGGGAGGCCGACTGGGGGACGCCCAGCAGCTCGTAGTACGGCAGGCGCCGACGCTCGTGCGCCTGGTGAAACGCATCCAGCTGCTGCCGCGCCCCGGCCATTCGGCCCCGCGCGGAGGAATATTTTTCGTCTGCTTCACGTGTGCAATTTTGGGCGCCCGAGTTATCCGGGGTAACTCGGGTCCGGGGTAACTCGGGTTTGGGTTCCCGGAAAAGGAACCCGAGCTAGCCCTGACCCGAGTTACCCCTGATGATGTGGGGCTCTGGACGCCCGAGTTTTCCGGGGTAACTCGGGTCCGGGGTAACTCGGGTTTGGATTCCCGAAACACGAACCTGAGTTAACCCTGACCCGAGTTACCCCTGATGATTCGGGGCTCTGACAATTGGTCTTGTTAAACTGTAGTTTGGGTGGGAGCCTCCATAGTACACTGCATTTCTCCGCTCCGCCTCCGGTCCCTTCGTCGATGTTGCTCGTTCGATGCTGCACCATCGGCAATTTGGCTCGAAGAGCCCCTAGGGGGCGAAACGCGTAGTCTAATTGTGAGTTCTCTTGAGACTCAATGAAAAACATGGGCTGACAGCAAGAAGCCATTACCAAGACACCCGGTGCAATCGTGGAGTTCCGAATGGGGCCACGAAACGCGGGCGAGGTGTGCCGAATGTAAGCTCGGGGGGTACTATGCAATAACGCCGTTGGGCTTCGGTTCAGCCCCCTCGGGGGCCACGAACCGAGAGAAGGGTGTGCCGAAATCGGCTGGGCTACGCTATGCGGTACCACACGTAAGAGGACTTCAATGGAACCCCGGCCACGAACCGTGTGGAGGGTGTGCCCACATTGGCTGCGGCACCAACCCTTGGTGGTTTCGGTGGGCCCTCCTGAATGGGGCCACGACACGGGTGAGGGGTGTGCCAAAATTGGCAAGCGGAAGGCAGAGGAAGGACGAGGAGGGGGAGGGTAGAACGAGACGCGGGGCGCTGCTGCTTCAAAACGATGAACCACTACCACAAGAAGGCTCGGAATATCAGACAGCTGAGTAAGACATAAGAAGCCGTGCTCCTCCTTCTCCTTCTCCTCCCTCTCCTCGACGCGCTCGGACTATACCACCATGGCGACGATGGCCCCCGGCGGAGGCCCAGAAACGCAACGATCCAAGCCTCCCCGATCTTCGCCACTGCCCCGTCCTCCCCACAAGCCGACACTCCGATGCCCTCCCTCAGCTTGTTCCCCCTCCTCCTCCTCCTCCTCCTCCTCCTCCTCCTCCTCCTCCTCCTCCTCCTCCTCCTCACTCCTCCTCCTCCTCCTCCTCCTCCTCCTCCTCCTCCTCCTCCTCCTCCTCCTCCTCCTCCTCCTCCTCCTCCCTGGGAGGCCGCGGGGAGGCGACCGCGAGAACCCGCCGGGCGCTGGGCCAACACGGCTTCGCCAATGCGCCCCCGCCCCGGGCGAAGGCACGGCGGGAAGGAATCGGGAAGGGGGGCATCGGTTGCCAGGAGGCGGAGGGCGGGGTCGAGGAGGAGGAGGAGGAGGAGGAGGAGGCTGAGCAGGACCAGGAGGCAAAGGAAGAGGACGAAAAGGAGGAACGTGCCCTCGCCAGGAAGGAGGCGGGAAGAGGAAAAGGGGAGAGGGAAAAGGGGAGGCAGGGGAATTGTGGAGGCCTCTGTCAGACCTGTGCTCCAGGGAAATTGAAATTATCGGACATGCTAAGCTTCACGAAGCCTTAAGCCTTGCAATGTTTGACCGAGCCCTCCTAAGTGTTGGTAAGCCTTGTTACTAAGGCATGCTAGGCACTGGTAAATCTTGCTAAGCCTTACTGAACCGTGCGGGGCACTGCGACGCCCTGCTAGGTCCTGGCCCGCCCTGCTGAGCCATGCCGTGGCAAGCTCTGATATGCACTGCTGCGCTTGGTAAGCCTTGGTAGGCCAAACCAAGATTGACAAACCTTGCAACGCCCTGCTAAGCCGTGTTGAGCCTTGCTCGGCTTGGCAAGTTTGCTAAGCCCTGCTGAGTTTTGCTGAGCCCTGCTGAAGACGTGGTAAGCCTTGCGATGCCTTCGTAAGCCCTGCCAAGCCCAGGTAAGCCTTGTTGAGCCCCACTGAGCCGCGCTGAGCACTGCAAAGTCCTGCTCGGTCCTAGTACGCCCTGCTGAGCACTGGTAAGAATCGCTCTGCCCTCGCATGTGCTGCTAAGCCCTGTTACGCTTGATAAGCCTTCTCTGAGCCCAGCTAACCTTGGTAAGCCTTGCCAAGTCCTGCTAAGCGTTTTGAGCCTTGCTGAACCTTGGCAAGTTTCCTCAGCCCTGCGAGCCCTTGCAACGCCCTGGGTTCTGCTGAGCTTTGCTGAGCCCTGCTAAGACTTGCTGAGGGTTGTCAAGACTTCGAAAACCCTGCGGAAGCCGTCTGGCTCTTGCTCGACCCCGCTGTCCTTCTAAAGACGACTACGCTCTGGCAAGCTAGGCCCTGCCAGGTCCATGTACGCACTGCTGAGCCCTGCTCAGCTTTCGGTAAGTTTGCTATGCCTGGCAAGCTCCGCTAAACCCTGTTACGCTTGGTAACTTGAGTTCCGACAAGCGCTGCAAAATGGTGAGCTCTGCTCAACGATGTCAAGCTTGGACAGCCGTAGCCGTGAGATGTTGTGCATCATAACAAAGAACCCATGGCAGGGAATCCTTGCAAAGAGGAGAAACAAAAAAGGGAGTGGGAGGGGGCGTGGAAGGGGGAGGGGGAGGAGCAGGAGGAGGAGGAGGAGGAGCACGAAGAGGAGGACGACGAGTGACTCACGTTCCTCGCCCCCCCCCCACTGATGAGAGAAACGGCTGAGCAAAATCTGTGGCCCCCCAGACAGATGCGCGATTGTTTGTTTTTTTGTTTTTGCTTTTACCTAACAGCTTTTGCTGATAGGTTTCTAGTGGTCTCAAAAAACAACATCTTGACGCCCCAGGGGGGTCTGGGCGGGATCCGGACAAAACTGGACAGATCCGGCAGCCCCAGTAATCCTTAGGAATCCTTCGAAATTCTTAGGAATCCATTCCCAGAACACCATTCCCAGGCGACATGTTGAATGCCCGAAGCCAACTGTAGGCCACTTCATTCATGTTCTTCGTGTTCCCAGCACACCATTCCCAGGCCACGTTTTGAATGCCCGGAGCCAACTGTAGGCCACTTCGTGTCCTTCGTCTTCCCAGAACACCATTCCCAGGCCACATTTTCAAAGCCCGGAGCCAACTGTAGGCCACTTCGTGTTCTTCGTCTTCCCAGAACACCATTCCCAGGACACATTTTGAATGCCCGGAGCCAACTGTAGGCCACTTCGTGTTCACACCACTCTTGTACCATATTCTGACTGCCCAGAGCCAACTGTGAGGCTGAGGCTGAGGCACGCTGAGGCTGAGGCAGGCTGAGACTGAGGCTGAGGCAGGCTGAGGCTGAGGCTGAGGCTGATGCAGGCTGAGGCTGAGACGCTGACGCTGAGGCTGAGGCAGGCTGAGGCTGAGGCTGAGGCAGAGGCAGGCTGAGGCTGAGGCAAGCTGCGGCTGAGGCAGGCTGAGGCTGAGGCTGATGCAGGCTGAGGCTGAGGCAGGCTGAGGCTGAGGCTGAGGCAGGCTGAGGCTGAGGCTGAGGCAGAGGCAGGCTGAGGCTGAGGCCGCGGCAAGCCGAGGCAGGCTGAGGTTGAGGCTGAGGCAGAGGCGGGCTGAGGCTGAGGCTGAGGCTGAGGTTGTGGCTGAGGCCAGCTGCGGCTGAGGCTGAGGCTGAGGATGAGGCCGAGGCAGAAGCTGAGGCTGAGGCAGGCCGAGGCTGAGAGGCTGACGCTGAGGCTGATGCAGGCTGAGGCTGAGGCTGAGGATGAGGCAGAGGCAGGCTGAGGCTGAGGCTGAGGCAGGCCGAGGCAGGCTGAGGCTGAGGCTGAAGCTGAGGCAGGCTGAGGCTGAAGCTGAGGCTGAGGCTGAGGCTGAGGATGAGGCTGAGGATGAGGCTGAGGCAAGCTGCGGCTGAGGCAGGCTGCGGCTGAGGCTGATGCAGGCTGAGGCTGAGGCAGGCCGAGGCTGAGGCTGAGGCAGGCTGGGGCTGAGGCTGAGGATGAGGCCGAGGCCGAGGCAGGCTGAGGCTGAGGCCGAGGCAAGCCGAGGCAGGCTGAGGCTGAGGCTGAAGCTGAGGCAGGCTGAGGCTGAGGCTGAGGCTGTGGCTGAGGCAAGCTGCGGCTGAGGCAGGCTGTGGCTGAGTCTGATGCAGGCTGAGGCTGAAGCAGGATGAGGCTGAGGCTGAGGCAGTCTGAGGCTGAGGCTGAGGCCGAGGCAGGCCGAGGCTGAGGCCGAGGCAGGCCGAGGCTGAGGCCGAGGCAAGCCGAGGCAGGCTGAGGCTGCGATTGCGAGAACAGGAGAATTCTACAACTGGATTCTCACCTGAATCTTAAGGGGGATGCTTCCAGATATGATTATACACATCGCTGTTAGGTTGTTTCGTCGGGATATGTTTTGTTTTTGGGGGGGGTGCGAGACTATGATCAAGTTGCAAGTGCAAGTGCAGAAACCGATTAAGGCCGAGTTTGCATTAGCCGCCGTTTGTGGTCGGCCCTGCTTGAGCTCTCGCGGACTAATCCTTGCTCAAAAAGGTTTAGATGCTCCCCGCCTGCGCGCGCGGGTCGGCCAGGGCGGCGCAATCTTCCCAGCCCACAGACCTGCCGATCAACAACGGCCCCGCCCACGCCGCACTAGCACGGACAAAGGGCAGCATGATAGTTGAGAAGATGGGATGGATGCAGCCAGCCCCCCGCCACGCGGATCCTACCACCAACGGGCGGTGAGAAAAGGGCTGCGTCCACGTTGGCTACGGGGCGGCAGCGAGATGACCTACCTTCTTTCAGCTTGGCAGCCGACGCGGAACCTAAACATTGGGTCGACGAAGCCTACACTCACCGAGCCGATGAGCCGGGAGCAGCGGGGCGAGAGCAGCAACGGCAGGGAAGGGGGACAGGGGGAAGCGCGGAACCTGCTCTTCTTGCCTCTCACGATCCCGTTCGGTCGCCACCTTCGCGAAACAATCGAGGGTCGCGCGAAGCAGCCGCACGCGCGCGAGCATAGCCTGACATTCCGTTATTTCTGCATGCAAGAAAAACATCTGGCGGATAGTCTCAAGGGCGCGGCAAACATGGGCGGCGGCCTCTGCAGTAATTTCAGCCACCGCGCTGTCACGCACTAAGCTGCTGCGCGATCCTTCCTCGACAATATCAGACTCCGTTAAGTGGCTGCGCGTGAGCAAAACAAAATACGATGAGCCGGCCCGTGCTGCTCACTGAGAGCATGTCCAATCAAGCCCCATCTGTCGGCTTCGGGTCCTTTCAGCGTTAAATGCGCTTGCTCGTACCGCGGTTCGGAATCTGCGATGTGCACTAGATGGCCCTAGCCAGACGTAGGGGCGACGAGCGAGGCATTTATCTCGCCTCTAGTCACAACCTCTAACGCGACCTGCCTATACCCGACAGAGGGCCACAAAGAGAGGCCTCCACTCTTGTGGGCTCTATGAAGGCAAACTTCGCAAGAGCCGCACCTACGCGCCTAAGACGGAGCAACTTTGACTTCCCCCCCCCCCCCCCCCCCCCCGAAGCATCACCCGCAAACAAAATGGCAACCTCTGCAGGTCCCGCCCCGAGACATGCGCCAGCGTACTCGGGCACGTTACAGATCTCCCACTGATCCTGATCCATGTTTCCCCGGGTCCAAAAGGCCGCCCCTGCGTTGACTTGTGCAATGGCGGCGGGAACTGATCCGGCGGAAGCCTCATGCACGGGTGATTTCACATCTCGCATCGCCAGGAATCTCGCACCCCCAAAAATCTCAAATCACCCACGCATTGGTTCGAGCCTCTCCTTTCCGCGACGTCGAGTCCAGCAGCCTGCAGCTGCTAATAGTGATCATGGTCTCCGCTAGGCGCCCGCCCTGTGGGGCCATCTCCAGTTGGCGAACTAATGTAAAACAAAACACTCAATTACCCAATCCGCCTCAAAGATATTGACGACCAGCTTGAAACCATATGCTGCGTCGAGCAACCTGTTCTAGATCGCGCGACAAGTGATCATGCCGATCGATGAACGAGTTGCCTATGTAGACTTGGTTTGGGAGAAAGCCATTGCTGGACGTCGCCATCTTGGGGCGGATATGACCACGACGAGGAGGCTTCAGGCGCCAATGCATGTCGCGCAAAGGTTCAAATCACTGCAGGAGCTGGGCCTCTGGCACTTCTGGATTGATCGGCAGCCATCAACTCCTGAAGCTTCGCCTGGGTCAGGGGCCAGATGCGCTCAATGGATGGGCGAGTGCTGGCTCGATCTCTCCAGGTCTTGAACCGGGGATCGATCGCCTGCAGCGGCAACGGCAACGCAGCAACGGGGTCGACCTCGCGGGCCCGGAGGTCCAACGCAGTGGTCAGGCGTCGTCTATTAGAGCCTCCGCTGGTGTCTTGTGCAAGCCTCCTTCTGGCAAGCTGCAGTTGCTGGTCGGAGACGCCGTGGGCCTGGTGCCCGCGCAGGCCAGCTGGAAGCCCTCCTCGAGGTTGCACCGTCGAAGATGCCCTTTACTGTCAGGATGCTTTCGCGATGCGTCTAGTTTTGAATGGCATGTGGTTGTGATTATATTGTCTGGGCCGTCTTGTGCATCTGGCATGCCTGCTGCTACGCCCGAAATCAACTCCCAGGCATGTGGACTGCGCGACTCCTGCGACGACAGAGTCTTCCAGCTTTGACCGCTTTGACTGCAACCTCGAGCAAACGTTGCGCCAATTCCTGACAAACGTGTAAAAAAACATTCCGTCAACCCGTCGTGGAATGGGATGAGTCGCCCACCCGCAATCGACGCCCCATTGCGGAGTGCACGGTGGCAATAGTACACAGCGCATGATGAGCAAGGACATTAGCGAACCTTGTGCCAGAGCGTAGACCCCGCACTGAACTCTGGCTCGGTTGGACCGGTGGGGTAGCGGCGCCCATCTGCTCCAAAACTCGCGCAGAAACGCATTGAGCTGACTCCAGATGCAGGAATGGCCGCATGGAAATTCATTCGCAATGCAGCTGATACTAATGGTATCCAAAGAATCGAATAATTAAACGCTTGGAATTTCGAGGATGGCGCGTCCGCGCTGCATTCGGGAATCGCACGCGACTCAGAGAAGCCTCGTGAAGGCACACATTGCCTTTGACCGCAGCATCCCAACTGGTGGACTGCTCGCTGGTCCACGTTTGGACCTCAGGCTCTCTCATCATCGACCATGCGTCACCGATCGCCCATGCCACACCGATTGCCCTGTCTCGTCGGGCCTTTTTGGGCGACAACCTTCACGTAATTAGCTGCGCTTGCATCTGCCAACGCAACGCCTCCCCCGCCACCGTCACCACGAATGCGAACTTCGCCAACCCAGCAACAGACAAAAGTTGGAAACCGACTGGTATGAATCCATCCGCTCCGAAGCCTGCGCCAGCCTTCATGCGCTGGCACGCTCGCAGGACGGATTGCCCATTGATAGGAGGCAGAATTCACGCGGGCGGAAAATGGCAGAAGGGCCTGCAAGGACCAGAAAAAAAGCCTCGTGTTTCAGCACAGCTTTGTTCTTCAGCGACTTGTGCAATACTCGATTGGCGACTGGACTGACAACCCATTCTCTGACATCACTGAGTGGCGCGGCAGCGTACCCCTGAGCACGCTCAGTTTCTCGACGTGCGCAGGGCCCCCAAGCTTCAAGAACTGGCAGCGGGGCTCGTCCTCGCTCGCTGAGGAAAGCTGCCCAACGCTCGCATGGGGGATCTCAATCTGGCCTCGTCATATTAGCGACGTCATCAGGCGTGCCATATACCATGTTGACACATGCTTCCACGTGCGACAAACTGTGTGCAACTCCATTGTCGCGAGCTGCGCGCCGACATCTCCCTGCAGTGACCGTGGCCGAGAGCGTCCACCATGGTGCTCTGGTGTCGCGCGGCTGGAGTTCCATTTCGTGGCTAATCTCTCGCAACCTTGCGAACTGGTCCTTGAGCGCCTTATGGAGGGCTGGATCCTGGGTGGCATGCAGGGCCTTGTGGACTAGTTTGGTCACCTCGTCGGGCTGTGGCGCGGGGCCACCTTGCCCCTTGCTTCCCCGACCACCGCTTCAGGATACCATGCGGCTGCTGCCAACCATCCTGGGGCGCGAAGACGGCATGGAACTCCTCATCACCCTGCGGAGCTCGCACCTCCTCGACATGTACCTTCTTACCCTGGTACAGTGTGACACGTTCCTTCGACTTACTGCATCGATTATATCGCTTACGTAGGATACGATTCCACGCACACTGTCCACATTCGCATCGCGTCAACAGCTGTGCAAACATGCTGTCAGGGCATGTGATGATATGCCTTTCTTGGTCGAATGTTCAGGGTTGGTGGCAACACCAAGGATGAGTCCCTCAAACGCTACGGGAAATTGTAAAGGCCCGCTGAGCTCGCTGCAAAAATGGCCTGAACCCAAGCGGCGCTCGAGGGGGGGAGGAAGGGGAGGAGGAGGAGGAGGAGGAGGAAGACGAGGAGGAGAATAAGGAGGACGGGGGTGCGGGAGGGGGACGGGGAGGAGGAGCAGGAGGAGGCGTGCGAGGAGGTGGAATATGAGTAGCTGTTGTTATTCACCCCCAAAAAAAGAGAAGGCGAACAATATATTGTGTCTTTGTTTCGGGGGGACGGGGCGGGGGGGCGAACAAGAAACGACCGTGTCTCTTCTGAGGAAAAAAAACGGAAAGGAAAAGGAGGAGGAAGGAAGGAGAGAAGGAGGAAGAGGATGGATAGGAGGACGCCACAGGAACACGCAGAACATCCAAAGACGCACGCGCGAATTCAGTTTAAAATTCTCGCGCGCGCGCGCCCTCGACCCGGAGGTGCACCACCTTCCCCCATTTTCGAACGGGAGAGGTAGGGGACGCGACGGGTCCGCACGCACCGCTCGTACGACGCAACGGAAGGAAGACAACCTGCCACCCAATTTGCAGCAACGACTGCGGCTCCCTCTGCGACCCGATCGGCGCACTCCCCTCATCGTCGATGCATCTTGGCTTCGGTCTCCTCCTCTTGCGCCTCCTCCGCTTCCTCCTCCTCCCTCTTCCTCCTCCTGCTCCCCCTTGTCCTTGTCCTCTTCCCTCCCCCCTGGGGAAACCAAAAGGCACCGATACCGCTACCCCCTGGACCTCTCCCAGGGTGCGTCCTTACCAAAATTTCGAGGCGAATCCAGCGGTGGCGACGAGGGCCTCCCAGGAGGCCCGGAGAAGGGAAAACGGGCGAAAGGTAGAACTACGTATGGGTACCTGTTCCCTCCTCTGATGTCGTGGTTTCTTCACAACGCGATCCCATACATCCGAAGTCGTGATTTATTCTAATGTATTCCATATGCACGGGGTCCCCATAGGTCTCGACCCCTTCCCCAGGACCGATTATTCATCCTGCGGCGTGTTTTGACGGTCCTGGGGCCAGGTGAGGGCCCCGAGAGGCGAAAAACGACAAGAAACCTGTCCCTGTTCTTAATTACCATCCCCCCGCCCATCCCCTCGACGCTCCTCGCTGGCAGCCCCAGGCAGCGCGCAAAGTATCCCCCCGCCTCCTCCGGCGGCATAATGAGAGGCATCGTGCACTCGCCGGCGAAGAGGGAGCACGTGCTCCCGGGGCGCTCGTCCTCGGCGGCTCTCCCAGGTGGGGCCACGAGGGATGGGAGGAGAAGGAGGAGGACGAGGAGGAGGAAGAGGGCGGAGGAGAGAGGACGAGAAGGAGGAGGAGGAGGAGCACGAGGAGGAGGAGGAGCAGGAGGAGGAGGAGGAGTAAGAGGAGGAGAAGGAGAAGGAGGAGAGAGAGGGGAGGGGGAGGAGGAGGAGGAGGTGGAGGAGAACGAGAGGGAGGAGGAGGAGGCGGAGGAGGAGGAGGACGAGTAGGAAAACGAGGGGTGGCGGAGGAGGAGGAGGGAAGAGAGGAAAGGAGGAGGAGGGGAGGGGAGGAGGAGGAGGAGGAGGGGGAGGAGGAGACGGAGGAAGGGGAGGGGGAGGAGATGGAGGAGGAGGAGGAGGAGGAGGAGGAGGAGGAGGAGGAGGAGGAAGAGGAGGGGGAGGATGAGAAGGAGGGGGAGGAGGAGGAGGAGGAGAAGGGGGAGGAGAAGGACGAGGTGGAGGACGAGGAGGAGGCTTACCATTCACGGTCGAGCAGCGTCGGCCTTGGACCAGGACGCTGGCCGAGCTCGCCGTGGAGCCGCGGCCCTCAGGACGTGAGAATATCACTGCACCGACCCGACCTTGCAGACGTGCTGCAGCAAAGTGTGTGGATCTCTGCCGATGCAAGACCCCGAAACAGCGAGCGAAAGACAAAATGAATGACACGTGGATTTGTTTTGTAGTCTGCATTCCTGGCAACATAAAACCCGCACGCAATTCCCCAGGAGTACCACCATGAAGAACAGAAAAGGATCCAAAAGGTACGGATACCGTATACGGCTACTCCCAGGACCTCTCCCGGGGTGCGTCCTGACCAGGATATTTCGAGGCGAATTCAGCGGTGGCGACGAGGGCCTCCCAGGAGGCCCCAAGAGGGGAAAGCAAGGGCAGGGTAGAGGTATGGATGCGTCTTCCTCCCCTGGCTTTGAGGCACCTCGCCCTCAGGACCCCATCCCCCAGGGCCCGTGTCTTTGACCCGCAGACGTCCGTGGCGCTCGTCGTGGAAACAGAGCCGTTGGAGCTGTTGCGGAGAGGCGACTCCGCGCAGAAGCTCTCCTCCGTGACGCTCGTCAGGAAGGGCATCGCGCCGGCGAAGGGCGTGACGGAGCTCCTGGAGCCCGGGGACCTCTGCCAGGGCGGGGTGGCCTTGGGGAGCATCTTCGGGATCTCCATGTTGGGTGCGCTGCCGAAGTCGATCAGCACAACTCTCTCCTGCTCGGGAAGAGATGAGGACCCACTGTGGATGCCGTGACGCTGGGCATTCTAACAGTCCTGGCAATGCATAACACTGTCTCTTGCACGTGTTTTAAATGCTTTAGCAATGTGTCAGCATGGTTTGAACATGTCTGAACATGTTTCAAGCATGTTCTGAGCATGATTTGAGGTTCTGCGCGTGTGCCTTGACAACGCGCCTCCTCTACATTGATCGTCTTCTACCAAGTGGAAAAGGAAAGAGGCAGAGAGGAAGGAAGGGGGAGAGAAAGAGAGAGAGAGAGAGATAGAGCAACAGACATGTATTGAACATGCGGACAAGTAAGGCACACAAGCGATAGTACATGAACGCTTGGGGGGGCAGATACTTGTTCATGTCATGTGATGACACTCTCGTGCACTTCGCGTGCGAATCGTTTCTAGCGAACACTTGTCCTTGAGAAGCCCAAATGTTGAACGGATGTACGTGTTCGCACTTGCAGCAAGAATTGAAGAAGTAGCAGGGACGCGGACTGAACAGAGTAATCCAGACAGGAAGCCGATGCCATGGCAATCATGCGCGAATCAACACAGCACAACCCATTGTAAGAAAGACTTCGAACGTGCAAGGCTGGACAAGACAACGCAAAACAAAACAACGCATGGACTAGTACGGGCACCCACTGCTGCCGTTCCTGCTCCTGCTGCTCCTGCGCGTCCACCTTCTGGCCCCCCGTTCGCTCATCCACTTCTCTTCCAAATCTCCTTGTGATCGTGCGTTCTCGCCAATTTCCTTGTCAAATGTTCTCACGCCGCGCTGTGTCGTTTCTGCTTTGCTCATCTGCCCGTTCCTTATCTACTACAACTGACTTCTCCTGCTGACCCGCTAGTGCTGCTCATCCTTCGTGATTCCCACACGGATTTCCGGATTTCCCCCCTCAGCGACCCTCTCCTGCTCAGGCGTGGTGCCCTCGTCGATGATGACGTTCCTGGAGTGGAGGTCGCGATGGTAGACCTGACACGTCGTGGTGAACATACTCATCCCCAACAAACACGCTCGAACGATCTGCGGGCGGATGCTGAAAACTCTCAGTGCTGCAGCATGCCGAGCTGGATCATACGTACTTGGAGTGATAGGGTTCGCTCGCGCAACTTGTTTGGAATTTCGGAGGCGTGTGGCCGAGCTCAGAACTGGTCACGTGCTGTCGTGTTCATTCCAACTTCCTCTGGCGGCGCGCAGAGGAGGGTAGGGAAAGGGGGGAAGGCTTCTTAGAAGGAGGCTGCTCCTTAGAAGGCGCCGGCCTTGCATCTACAGACGAGGCCCGCGCCTTCTAGGAAAGGGGTGCTTCTAAGAATCACCTCCCCCCCTCCCCCTACACCCCTTTGCGCGTGGCTGCTCCTATAACCGTAAACTTTTGGCGCTCCGCGCGGATGTTTGGGATCTGGCCTGGAGGCCCCTCCCTGGCGCGCGGAGCGCGCCAGGGGCGGCGCCGAAGGCGCAGCCGGGGGGAGCCCAGCGCGGCTCCAAGAAACCCGCGCGGATCGCCAAACGGTTGCTGATGGCGTTGTTTCTTCTTCGCCCTAACCCGCCCCTGCCACTGCAACAAATCCGTACCTTCCTGGGCAGGTTGGGTCTACCGGGCCCCTGTCGGCGAACAATGGGCGATTGGGGGTCGATGCATCCCCCCTATGCCGATCCCCCCCCTATCGTTGCCCCCCCTTTCCCCCCCTATGCCTAATCCCCCCTATGCCTATCCCCCCCTATCCCCCCCTATGCCTATGCCTATCCCCCCCTATGCCTATCCCCCCTATCGTTGCCCCCGACTACCCCCCCCCCCTGCGCGTGGCTGATCCCGCTCCTTCTCGCGGCGCTGCTCCTGAGCGGGAGAGCGCGAGGTCGCGGCGCAATAGAGTTAGGTCGGGCATGTCCTCCTACAGGCGGACTTTGGGCGAACCAAAGAAACATAATTAGGCCACGAAAATTCCAACATTGCCAAAATAGTCAAAACATCGTCCCCAGAGTATTTGTCATTATTTCCGGAAGATTCCCCCTGTAGAGGGACATGCCCGACTTTAGCATATCAGGGGCGGCCCGCCCATCCATCCAAGGTGAGACGGCACCTCCTCCTCCCTCCTCCTCCTCCTCCTCCTCATCCTCCCTCTCCTCCTCCCTCCTCCTCCTCCTCCTCCTCCTCCATCCTTTTCCTCCTCCTCCCTCCCTCCTCTTCCTCCTCCTCCTCCTCGCCCTCCTCCTCACCACCACGAAGCTCAGCACACCCATCCAATTACTTACGAATCGAAACAAGAACCCCGAAGCATGAACGGGACAGAAAACAGCCCTGAGGAAGGAGCAAGGGCGCGGAGGAGGGGAGGGAGGAAGGGGAACGAGACTGGTCGCGCAGTGGAGGACGGGCAGAACGACGGAGAGTGTCACGGCAGCGCGCATCACAGCAGTCAGTGTGTTCAGGGCGCAGTGTATGTTTCATCGGTGTGGCCCTCCTCGCGGAGCAATCAATGTCGTCTTCAACGCATGTTTCCCACGCAAGTCCGGAAGGCGAGGGAGAACGGGGACGGGGGGCTGGGAAACGCAGCGGGGAATGTGAGGCGTTTCTTGTCGTCCTCCTCCGCCTCCCTTATCCTCCTCTCCCTCCCTCGAACTTCCCCTCCCCCCTTCCCCCCCCCCCTCCTACGCGACGAGGAAGGCGACGAGGGGTAATTACGGAGGAGGAGGCAGGACGAGGAGGACGAGGACGACGAGGCCTCCTTGGAGTGCAGGTGTGCCACCGCTCGCAGCAGCTGCTCCGCGATGCGATGGGCCTGGTGGCGCGCGCCGTGCGCTGGCTGCTCGCCGTCGCGACCGCCGCGGGAAGACCAAGCGGGCCAGGGAAGGCAGGGAAGTCAGGATGGGAAGGAGGCGGAGAGCGAAGGGGGGAGAGGGCAAGCCGGACGTGCTCGCGCCCTACTATCTGACATCGTACTCCTCCCACCCGTCCTCCCTATTGTGCCGAAGTTTCTCTGCCCGCTGGCACGTGCCATAGCGGCAGCCGGGACCCCCCAAGCAGGATCTCGTCGCGCTCTGCACAGTCGTAAAGGGAGAGCCACGTGCATCGGAGAAGGGAGTGGCTGATGAGCAGGGGGATGAGGGCGAGGCTGAGGAAGGGGGCGGACGGGGAGGAGCAGCCGCAGCAGGACATGGAGCGGGAGGAGCGGGAGAAGCAGGAGGGGCGGGAGGAGCGGGAGGAGCGGGACCAGGGGAAGGCGGAGGAGGGGAACGCGCGGGGCGACACCGACGAGGAACTGCAGTAGAGGCCTGCCCACAAGAAACCTCCCACAAGAAACCCAACCCTGAGACCCGAGGACGCCCCTTGGCTCCTGCTGCGGGAGCGCCACGCTTCCCATCGCAAACCCATCGAAACCCCAGAAACCCAGGGCACCCTGGAGGCGAGCAGGGTGTTTCTTGGCACGGGTCTCCACTGTACCTTGGTTGCCCCTGGTGTGCTGCGGGCCCGGGCCGCCTGTGGGGCCGGGCTTCTGGTCCACATTGCTACAGAGGCTCAGGGACACACACACAGAGAAAAATAGCCCACGTTGTCCCGTTGTTTTGTGCGTGTTCGTCTTCCCCCCCACCACCCCCCATATTAGAGGCCTCCTAGATGGGGTCGGAGAAGATGGGGTCGAAGGATCTCGCCGCATGGCCGATACATCGGCGATGCATCGGCCATGCACTGGCGACGTCGGCGGTACATCCACGACGTCGGCGTGGAGACAATTGGGCCGCACATCGCGCCGCATCGCCGATGCATCGCCGATGCATCGGCGACGCGGCGCGATCCTCTGACCCCATCTACTCCGACCCCACCTAGGAGGCCTAGACATGTTTTCCCCATCTTTTCCCCTGGAGGTAAGCGAGGCGTCTCTTTTTTTTTGTTGGCACGGTTCTCGCCGTGTTATTTAAGTTTGATTCGGAAGGCGGTCGACCTCTCGATCGAGCAGTTCTCAACTCGCCTCTGCGCGATCTCTGCCCTTCTTCAGAGGTAAGCGAGGCGTCTCTTGGCGCCTCTTGGCCAGACAGCCTCGGCAGCCCGCCCCGCCACGTGGCGGCCCGGGGAGGCGCGACGCCCCCTTCCTCGAGAGGCCAGTGCTCGGCTTTGGCCTCGGCGGACTGCGACCGCCTGCGGTC